GTATGTATATCAGAGAACAGCTTTGAGTATGATCGAGCCTTTTTGATCACACTCACTAAAAATCAAGCACAAGCGAACGCCACACTCGGCTATTATGTGTTCGATCGAGATGCATACCCGACAGCTGCTTTGGTTACGAACGAGTCTGTTCGATCACCCTCGCTATAAATTGAGCACAAGCGAACACCACACTCGGACACCCGCAGCTAACCCGAAAATTTGTGTAACAATGAAACGGACACCCGAACATTGCGATAAAATGCAGGACAACAAAGAAATTTACGCTGAAGGTAACTGGCGCCAATATGTTCCCACAAAGCATACGAAAATGTTGTTGCTTTGTGCTTGTGCATACGCAATGAAAAAATTAGAAGCGAAGTAGACAAAAATGTTTTTGCATCTCTTTCGTATAGTTTCGCGTGGAAAGCTGTGTGTGTATATATTAGAACACAGCCTAAAACTATGTAGGTACATAAGTACTTTTACAAAAAATAAATGTGCACCGAGTGTATAGGGCTTGGGCATTGCCGATCTACACACATTTATACCTAAATGAATATAGGCGTCGTGATGCCGCATTTTGTATGAGCAAAAATATAAGAAATGGTTAAATGTACACTTAAACAAACTACCGAAAAATTCAACCTTCTCTTTACCCTCTACGCACAAAAACTAAGAACTCCGCGATGAGAAGGCAACATTTTTTGTAGAAACAAAAACGTCATAAGCCAATCAAGAAAATTTTGTGCACACTCGGGTTGAAACTCGAACACCCGGGTATATTGAGCTGCAAAGCACCCGAACCCAATCAAGTATGTATGAAAAGCAATCGGGTGTTGTGGCCAACATGTTCGTCTTGAGCTCAGTCGATAACGAACAATACTTCTGCTCGTATACAGAGAACGATGCAAAACGGGTTTTGTTAGATGATCGAGTATACACGAAAATCATGCACCCGCTGCAGATGTCTGATATATATATATCGGTAGCAGTTGTGGTAAATTGTTTGAAGATAGTGAAGAGGAATAACGAAAATATCCTATTCGTATGACGTAAGCGTACATTTTTTGGGACAAAGCTCGAAAATGTTTGTGTGTAGCAGAAAAGTGCCTTTCTGAATGTGGAAGACGTTTTTAGCAAACTGGAATTTGCTATTCATTCACTTTACTTTAGTTGCTGAAGGGCTGAATTCATGGAATAAGTATCCGCTGTATCGGTAACATGTTGTGTAGGAGAAACATCAGTGGTTTCTTAGAAATACGTATTTAGCTGAAGTACGAAAAACTGCACTTCGAAATACTCTGCTTTGGAGCATCGTTCTGAACGAGTTTGTGCTTCATTTCGATGGCCGCTGAAGTTTTGCCATCTCTGCCTTACGACAAAGCTATGTTTCTGGGAATGAAAGGCCTGATTATAATCTCCAGTAAATTAAACTATTCCTTTTCGCGAAATGCCTTGAAACAGGCAGTTTTCTAACCCAATCCAAATTTTAAACTGTCAAATGTTTCAAAATTTCAGGGAGTTATTCTCGACTCGAACCTTGTCTGCAAAAGGAATGCTGAAGAAACAGGAAAGGAAAGCACTTAAGGCTATCTACTCTTGAAGGAATACAAGTAAATATTGATGTGCATGCTGTTTAGGTTGGAATAGTTGGTGAGTGCCTCTCGAAATGTACGCACCCTGTGATACCAAACAGAGTTATCAGCCTCTTTCAAAGTTAAAAAGCTCACTTGAGCACAAAAGACTTTGTTGTTATTTCCACTTGTGAGTTCTCAGCAACGCATTGAATGAATGGCTTGCCAAGTGTTCATAATTTTCTACTTAAAACCTGACAATGACATGCATTTTCTCGGAAACTTACCTTTCCTTGCCAACTCATCGCATTCCCTCTATGGCGCGTTAGTCCCATTTGAGAGTCGACGACCAGACGGCGTTGTAAAAGCTCCTGGACTTTCCACACCTCAACTCATGTTGATATAAGACTTCTAAAAGGCTGGAGATGGTGAAGTTGAGATCAAGTATACGCACAAGCTCGAAGTTGAATTATCTGATAAAAGTGATTGGGATCTCAATCCTTTGCAATCGGATATGAGATTAAAATACCGGCAAATGGCTCCAAATGAATATTGCAGCAGAATCTTTCGTCTCACGTAGTGTGTTTAAGGCTGAGTGGCGGCAATGTTGATAAGCATGATGGATCTCGCTCCCTCAAAACTTGTTTCCGTTCTAGGCAGCCAATCTGCAATCAGGTTCTTTAGGTCGATAGCGATAAGCCCAATATCAATATGTCGCTAGGATGGGCGTTGATTCGTACAATTTCTTAGGCAGCATATCTATACTGGCTCCTGGAAAATAGAACATTTCTGTTTCGGGAAATAAGCAGCGCAGAAGAGGTCCGAGTCAGCAAGTGTAGTACTCCTGAGATGCTTGCCCCCATATGTTGAGAAGAAGTTCAGAGCAAAAACAAATAGTAGTTTAATTAATAAATATTTGGTCATGAAAATTGTTGCGTTTACTTTGACCATCGCTCGATTTATGAAAATGATGAAGTATGCTGAGGATACCTAACAGAACATAAGCCCTCTCGCTGGGCAATAGACGATTGGCCAGGTACACAGCAGAGCATGCGAATTTCTAAGAATGGGAAATATGGGCGACCTGGGTGTTTAGTTGGTACTTACTCACCGTCTGAATTTGTCAAATTTTCGGAATGTTTACGGACTTTTAGGTAGCACGTTAATTAGAAGATTAGGTGTAACAAATCACAGGACACTGCGAACTAAAAAGTCTATTTTATTACCCACTTGCCTAACGAGCCCCAGTTCCGAATTAATATATGTAGTTAAGAAATAAATTTCACAGTTAATGGATTTAGATATTTCAGTCGAGGTGTGGTCAATTCTGGACAATCACACAGCATATGTTATCTTATTCTTCAAGACAACAACGGCATTCCGTCTACATTGTCAGGTCAATCCGGGTTATGTGAGAGCGCTGACAATTATGACTGGTTAGGTAACCTGTGAGCAACAAATTTTCTCTTTCTAGCCAAAAAGCCTGGCCTCTCTTAAAGCCTCGAACCACTACCCAGTATTTACTGCGTTCCGAGTTTACACACCCAATACAAGTCTGGAAGCACCATTAGGTATCAATATGGGTGTACTTTCTCTGGAGCATCAAACTAAGACAGGTAGGCAGGCCCGGAATATTTCTGAAACTGGTTAGACTTCTAAGAGGAAACTTCAAAACTACCAATCCAATCCGATTTCTACATTTGATTGTTTTTCACAAGGGTTTTCGGATCAAAAATTGATAATTATTTTTTATTTTTCTTTCATATATTCTTCTTCTTTAATTAATTTAAATTTGTTTGGTTTGCATCAATCATTTTAAAATCACATCTATACTATTTATACCCAAGTTGGCAACCCTGCGGCACTCACGTCTTTAATTGGCATTTAACTTGCACACTCTCACTTGCCTGTACCGTTAGGCGCAAACGGCTCAACTCAATTTGTGCATTGCCCCAGAAGAATTAAAACGCTGCGCTCCAGCAATCCACAACCCCAGGAAAAAAGCGCCCTTTCGGGCAAAAGAAAGAAAAAATTGGGCACAGCAAAGCGCAAGAAAAATTCAATGCGTATTGCGCCATCAGCAGCATCGCCGCCGCCGCCGTCACTCAGCTCCACCATTAAACTTCAAACCCCAGAGGCTTACGTTAATTCAAGGCGCTCGCTCGAAGAGGGAGCGGAGGCCAGCGAATGCCAGTCGACGCGCGTTGAAAATGCCAAAGCGACGAAGAAAAGCAGCCTACCTTTCCTGTGGTGCATCCCTGTGTGGGCGCGCTTTGCACCATCTTTGTATGTGTATCAGAGGACAATTTCCGACATGAGTAATTATTGCCACCAGCCAGCCGGGTGGGTGGAGTATGTATGCATGTACGGCTGAGAGGTGCGTTGCGCGCTTATTGGCTTTCACAATTGTTGTTACAAGAAATTATGCATATGCTAGAAATACATACATACATGCTGAGGGGGGTGGTGATGAATGGCTGTACTCGTATGTGTGTGTCGCGTGTGAAGAAAATATGGCATGTAGAATGGCTTAGTGAACAGCGCGTAATTATGACAACAAAGCATTGTTTCAAAACATAATTGCCAAATTGAATAAGTGTATAGAATATATATTTTTTGTCTCTCCTCCTTTTTCATCAAATGCAGCTCTGCACTTCAAAGCAAAGCAATGTTGTGTGGTAAATGAAAATGAAAAGAAAAAAATTTCGCCGGCGTATGCTCACAAAATCGTGCTTTAAAAATTTAACGACGTTTTTTTGTGTGCTCACTTACAATATCGTCACCTTTAGTAGCTATTTTAATTACATCGGCTGCGTGCTTCGTGCCAAGATTGTATGCGCAACTCAACCGAGGAAGCCAATGAGGAGGCTATTAGCTGGCGCTTGAAATGTGGTTTTCTTGTTTTCTATTTTTCTTTCAAAATTCGGCTTCACTCCTCCATCTGCCTTCTTGGTGTAGCCTATTTTAAGACGCCACTCAAGTGCTGCTTGTAGACGTTTAACCATAGTAAGAAAGTATTGGTAGGTGGGCTTCTTTTTGCTTCTTCTAATGCTGCTTTGAAGCGAGGCAGTGAAGAAGAAAATCGCTGTACTATTTTGCGGCTTTCAGATTTTTATTTTTGCCAGTAGCCAACGAACTGTGTTTAATGTTAACAATTTCCGAGTTTCTATTGGTTTGGGAGGAGCAAACAAACTTTTCGTGCTTTATTTTTGGCGCTTAAATGAAATAAATTTAATTGCAAGTGATTATATAATACGTAATTTAATAAACACCCTACCAGCAGTTGTTAGCAATGACTTACTTTTTTTAGTTTCTTATACTATATTTTGAGGAAAACATTAAAAACTTAATTTGATAATAAAAATTATCTATCACAATAACTTTTGCAAAGCGACTAATAAAAATATCTTTTTTCTTTACTTTCAGGTACGATAATTATAATGATGTGATGAATTCATCCTTGTACACACTTAATGGTGATTAAGCGTAAGTCTTTATTCATCTATTTTTTCCATTTAAATTTTCGAGTTTATCACTGATTGAACTTGGTTCAAAAAAACACAAAAGAGTGGAAAAAACCACAATTTGGGACGATCCAATAATATGTTTCGAACATAGATACCAAAAAAAGATGCTAAACATAATTTTTGTAATATGGCGCTTCAAAAATATAACTCAAAATCGGTTTGGCTGTACTGTTCCTATCCTCCGATACACATTTTGATATGCTTTGGAGGTGATTAACACAATATGTAGAGAGATGCCAAGTCAACGTTTGGCTGTGCGAAATGTGCTAAACAAATCCATAGAGTGCATTCTAGAAGCGACTCATACAAGGACGGGTAATGAAATCTTTTGGGGGTTCTGCTTTTGGCCAAAAAAAGCATACGCCATGTATAGGAGCAGTCAGATATCCAGGAAACAACCCTGAAAACCAGATGGACGATAGATTGAAAGTGACGATATTGTTAAACTCGAGAAACCCAAGTACATTAGATCCATTATCTAAAACGTCAACCCGACCGACCTAGAAGCACTTAAAAACACTAGAGCGAACTGAGTTCGGTGGAAATGCTTTTAAGCGAAAATCAGTAAAAGTGATGAAAATAGCCCGAAATTTATTGTATTCCTCGCATAGTAGCCAGCCCAGTAATACTTTAGGCATATGCTCTATTTGGTGTACTTATAAGGGTCCTCCAAAGTGTATACAGTATAGCAGTTGCACTACGTTAAATAAGGATCCATCCTTCTTTTGTATATAACTCTGTTAAAAAATGGTTGGTTAAGATATCCTTAGTATACACTTTTTGAAATTCGGCCAATTATGTAATCTCAAGCTATCTAATTTTTAGCTTTGATCTTTCTATAAACCAAATATTTGGTGGATGTACTTTCTTCGCGACCCAGCCTAGAATACGAAATCTAAACACACAATGAAGGTCGATGTAATTATTTATGTTGCTCATCAAAATTTCATACTTATCCTGCTCATACCTAGCATGGATAAGACACATTCTTAAGTCTGTGAACGCCAGCCTCTGTTGGTGACAAATTTGTTCCTAGTAAAATTTCTGGGCAAATGCCCAATCATGTGACACTGCCTTTAGAATGGTGGTGGAAAGAAGTTTACGCCCAATTAGCAGCTAAGTGCCTTTTTAGTACCATATACCTCGACTGAATATGTTGAAACCAACCGGCGTGGTTGATAAAGTTGAGTATTTTTTAGAGACTTATATCGAATAGTTTTCCTTGTAGGCGATGCCCAGTCTTATCGCGTGGCTGCCAATCGACCAGTGCCCAGTGAAACTCGCTACAAGCCTTGCCTAGTCAGATTGGGTCTTCTCTTTTGGTTGTACACGGCCACATGAGTCATCTTCTTAACCCCAGGGATTCAGAGTAAACGCCTGCTCTCTCTAGCCATCGGTGTAAAAATGATGTATGCAGTCAGAGGTATCAAGTTCGCCGTCCCAGTTGGCTCTCGACGCAAAAATTACCCCGAAAGGTGTGTGAAACTCGTATGTAATCGGTAGCCAATCTCATCTTAGGTGGCAATTGAGAAATTATGCTGCTATGCCCGTGCGGTGTGTATTATGTGAAGGTCTATAAGAAATAGGTGTGTAATAACATTGAGTGCGTCTGTGGGACAAGTTCTCATTTCCTCCGTGGAGATGTTTCTCACCACAGATGGAAATAACTAAAATCACTACATGGTCAGCGTACGCCACTACTTTTACTCCCCCTGGATGAGCTTGAGTAGTACTGAGTTGATGGTGTTAAGCCATAAAATTAGAGAGATTACTCCACTTTGAAAAGTGCCCCTACAAACTTTCCTTTTTAGCGTTCAGCTAAAATCGTTACGCTGCGAAGCATCGCCTTTAGCTATGCGTTTTTAGACTCCTCGACGCTAAGCCTGGGGATTTTTGGATAGCTTCTACCCATATATGTAATACTCCTATATTGGCAGTAAGAGCTAGTACCGTCCGAAAACACTACGGTACAGATATATCAATAAACACGTACGAAAGAAAAGGAACACATACGTTTATAAATAAACATGTACACGACACATTTACAAAACCGGCATTCAAGTACACAATACATTGACAAAAACAGTACTAGACTGTCTCGCTTTGATTTCGGAATGCTTACACATTGAGATGTTAGCTTACTATCAATATAGAAGTATTACATATATGCTTCTACCCAAACATTGTCAAAGGCTCCTTCTATGTCGAGGAGACTGCCAGATTATACTATTTAAATTCAACTGACCGCTTGACTGTTCTAACGACTTCATGAAGTGCCATCTCGGTGGATATGCATGCTTTTCCTCAGACATACAATCGCCGGGGAAGAAACCCCGAACCTGCTCGTCTAAGAACCTCTCGAAAGTTTTGAACAAAGAAAGTTAAGCTTATTGGGCGATAATCTTTTGGATGAAAACCACTTTGACAAAGGGACGAATACGAAGGGAGTAAATACCTGAAATAAAGAAACTAGTACATTTTCGTTCGACCTTTAAAATTTAAATTTAAAATGAAAATTTTCCATTAGGAACGAGAGCGCAACGTTAGCAACATAATTGCATCTCAGAAAAAAGAAAAGAAAAAAAATATCGGGGAAACTAATCAAAAACTCAGCGCGAATCGTGTTGTCAGTTTGTTCGCAAATAGCGTCAACATCAACACCAACAAACAAGCGAACAAAAATAAAACAGTAAACGGCAACCAACAGAAGGCGCCAAATACCAAAGGCTATACAACAAACAGGCGCAAGCGTCTACAACAAGGAAAATTACAACTACACGCAGTAGTAGACAGTTATGATAGTCATATATTGCCTACAACAGCAGCAGCAGCGGCCTGCTTGCCCTCCACCAACTCTGAGACGGCCACCCTTTTAGTTGCCTCGCCAGCGTCAACTTAACAAAGTTGCCAATTCCATTTCCGCTTCCGTTGCTGATGTTTACTTTTATTTTTTATTTTTATCTACATGAAACCCTATCACCTGCCGCATTTCGCTGCGTACGGGCACATAAATTTCTGTGTGTATCTGTGTGGGTGTACTGTTTGTGCGCGCGCGCTGTTTCAGTTTTGATGAATTGATAGATGCCGCGCGACAGACAAATGGAAAATAACCAACACAACGAATGGCTACGAGTATGTACGTGTGAACGTGTGGTTGTATGTGCGCACGTTGTTGGCTAAAAGGAAGCACAAACCCGGCTAGGAGTTGGGTTGTTGTGCAAATGTATGGCCGAGTGCTTCTGGTGCGCCAGACTATGCGCCTCTGTTTCGTTTGTTTCGCGTTGTTTGCTTACCAAAAATTTAAAGTAGGTATAATTTTTGCATTTAGCAAACATTCATTTGACGGCACGACACTGATGACGCAGTCGGCTCATCCGTGGACGTCCGCACGCGCTAATGCTTTAATCCTTTCAATCTCCACCCAGTGCAAATTTGCCCTGCCTTCATTCGTTCGCCGGCGCTTAATAAAACTAAGCGGCGTGCTTACGCGTATGCGGGCGTATTCCTTTTGGTGTTTGAGTATTTATTTCTTATAGGGGGATGGGTGTGTAGCGCTCTTCGACTGCTAGTCATTGGTTTGAGCGCTTGTGTAGGGAATTAAACCGATGAAGTATTAACGACTTAATTGCATGTTTTTTGAACATTTCGCAACCTGGCCGAGTGCTGCAATACTATACATACACTGTTTTTATGCTTTTGATTATTTTGGTTTTGTTGCCCTACTTCTAATTTCATTGGTTTGCTATCAAATGCAGGTGGTTTGCTGAATTAATAAAGTGTTGTTTGGATAGGGAAGTAGTCTAGAAGTCAAATGTTTTTATTAACTTTTTTTTACCAATTTTTTTATAATACTAGTGTTCGCGGCCAGCGGTTGAAATTCTAGTGGTTAATGGGAGTTGAGGTGAACTGAGAGAAGCCGATGTGAGGTCTCTTGAGGTGAGTTCAAGAGAGCTCTGGTGAGTTGAGGTGAAATGCGTTCAACAACATAACGTAACATAGCGTAGCATAACATAACATAACATAATATTAAAGAACATAACTCAACCTAAAAAGCATAATAAAATATAACATAACAAAACATTTCTCATGCTTCAGTTATATTCTTTTCTTTGTCTGTCTTCATCTCTATCACTTTTTTCGCTTTATATTAAACTACTTTGAAATTTGAGTAATTTTCTCCATATCAGCATTAAAATACCCTTCTGATGATATATAATTCTTTATACCTTAGAAGTATAGTTTAGCTTTAAGAGGGGTGTAAAGAAAACATGTTTGCCTATTTATGTATAAGATGTCCTACTAGCGCTAGGTCCAAGAGGATTCTTCAACACTCAGAGCCCTTTCGGAAAGAAAAAAGGATGGGTGTAGTATTTGTAACCATGAACCCGTGAACAAATTTTTACCATTCGATCGAAGTAGGGTGGAAGGAAGAACTCTCCATCAATGGCAAATTTAGGCTCCCAGATCAGTGCAATGCTTTTCAAGTAAAGGTAGCCGAAAAGGATGCAGGTCTTTACTGGCTACAGTCGATGAGATTTTAGTCAACTCAGAAAACCCTTGGAATGCAAGGTGGCTACGTCTGTCCGACCACGGATTGAGCGACGGCAGTCAAGGGAGCTCTTAAAAGTGAATGAGTCACATCTCTCTCTACTGGTGTGAGCTCTAACTGGCCATTTTCCGATTAAAATTCATGCCAAGAGGTTCAACATCAACTTAATGTCCTATTGCAGCAACCGCAAAAGAGTGGTAAAGAGTACTAATTTCAGCATCTGCTAGTCGGTTGCACAGCTTTCGCGAGCTTGTTTTGAAGCCATAAGTTTTGAGAGACTTTCGGGTATAAAAAGAGCCGCTAACAGAACGCAACATTTTTCTACCATAAACCTTTAGGCTTTGCCGTTCAACCACTCATATGTCTTATCTTCGTATCCTCTCCTTTTCGCACAACACAACACAAGAAGACGTTAACTTACTACTCTTAGTGCCATCCGGACCTTTCTTTTATCACACCTGCCCTCCTCAACAATACTCAACTATGTAAATACATATATTGGTTGCATATCAATATTTATTTTTCATGTCTAGGGTATTAAAATCTCCACAAGACAAAAGAAGTCAAGAATTTCTGCTCTTGGGCTTTCGAATTCAGAGAAGGCTTTCTCGTAGTTTTACTCTGCCGTACAGCAGGAGCTTTTAGGAATTTCGGTCATGCACTTTTTTATATGACGTCGTCGATTTATCCCAAGAAATTTCTTTCAAATCTCCCTTTGCAGTTTAGGTAAAGTTTATTGACCTAGCTACATACGATTGCGCTGATTAGGATATGAAATCTCCCTCGTTTGACGACTTGTAAGTTCCTTAAGAAAGAACCAATCAAAATTTCCCTTTTAATCACTTTAGACTTTGAATGCAGTTCATTTACACAAGAGCTCAGTTTATCGAATAGAGTAAAACAGCAAATGTGAAGTACTTTGCGACAATGCTGAATTAGCTAAACGACTATAAGTTCCGTCAACAGACGTCAGTTAAAGTGTACAATTGTTGTGAGGATTTATATCTACAAGTATAGCCACTGGGCGTATGAGTAACCTAAAGCAATGAAAGCGTCGCACCTAACCACCACCTAAAGAAAAGTCTACAATAATAATCAAAATAGGGCTAGTAAAGACTAACGTAAAAGCAATGGTATAGGAAAGATATTAGCAGGCAGAAAAGGAGTCGCGCGCGCATAATGCAAAGCGCACACACGCACGCCTGCTGTCGCAAATACAATATTAAAGTGGAAAATACAAGGCGACCAATGGACAGCAATGAATCAGCGGACCAGCAGGAATATTGATCAACAAACCTAGCACAAAAACGACAAAACACAACAAAACGAAATGAAATTTACATGCGTAGAGAAACGTGCAATAAGAGTGTGTGCAGAATAAAAAAATTGATCAAATGCGGCAATGGTGAGTAGCTGAACTTTGGCAAAGGATTGTAGCACTAACAATTGCAGAAAACTGCGACTGACTACCGGCAGCCGTTGGTATTGCCGCCGTGGATTGACGTGATTTTTGCTGATGCGCGTCTCTTGATTGGTTTTGTGTCTACAGGTAGACAAAGCGTATGGAGCGCAGGGTGCCATCCTGGCTAGCGGCCTGCCTGCAAGTATTGATAAGGCGCTCGAGCACGCAGCAAAAAATTATGAAAAAGTTCGCTAGCGGGCTGAAATGTTGTTCGAGTGCATAATGGCATGGTGGCTAGTCAGCCAGGCAATTGCCGGTAGAGCTGGAGTGTTCGGTACACCAACCGGGATGATGTCGTTAGTTCAATATGTATGTGCGTAAATTCTGAATTTTTCATAACTACGTGGGGTTTTCCAATATGTACATATATACATATATGATATGTTAAAAGTTGTAACGATTGGGTGTAATCTAACGGCCACACGCATTCGTACGCCTTACTTTAACACCCGCGCTTCTTTGACTACTCTAGCAGAACACATTGACACTGGGAAGAAGGTAGTAAAAATTTCGCCGGTAGCCAGTTATGATTTTATTATAGCTCGAAAGGCGATTACCCAAACCAGGCCTGAAGATTTTTGCAGCTTTTATATTAAAGTATCCCAGGTCTTTATTTGTGAGTAATGTATGTTTAAAGTCTTATTTAATATTTAGTAGTTAATATAGTATCATCTTTTATGCACTAAAAGTCGAATTTTATGTTTACATTTTTAGTGCAGTTAAATTAAACTAAATATTTAGATAGTAATGCACATTTTCGCATCATTCAGAAGTGGAATAAAGAAATATAAATAAAATCACAATACCTATTTTGTATGAGTAAAAGACCTAGTGCTACTGTTAAAAGTGCATACGTAGGTTAGGAACAATTTTTGCCTTATTTAAATCCACGACATTAATGATACAATCGCAGTTCATAAGGTGAGTCACCTTTTGGTATTCAAGATAACAATTTGTTTCTGTGATCGGCCCAATTATCTTAATATCCAACCATTTCAGTTTTGGTTGCTAAACCTGGAGAACGTGCTAGATGAGGTAGCAATTCGTGAACGGATTCACGTAATTTTTCCCCTTATCAAAGTAATAGATGTGAATCACATCACGTACCTCGGCCGGAATCGTTCGAGCAGCTGTTGTTTGTATATTTACTGGTCACATACGTCCAGGCTTTCTTTGGTGCATTTTCACCTGTTTAAGTCCACTGATTTGAGTGTTTGATGGATCCTTGTTTCAACCACACTTACAGAACGGTGCAAAAATTTGTTTGTAATGCGGTCGAATGTAGCCAAACACCACTAACGTGGACACTTGGTACCGGTAATGATCGAGTGATTAATCACGGCAAGCATCGCTCGGCTAGTAAAATGTTTATCACCGATTTCTGTCCTGCGAGTTTCATTTGGGTGGCCTGAACATTTGACGAGCACAACAAAATTCCGTTAACCAACTCTTAGTCATAGAAATTGCTGATGCAGAGTCCTCGTGATATTTATTAAGCATTTCTCTGGTTTTAGTGATGGCTTTTAATCCAGGAAAATGACGCTTGATGAGCACACGTAAATCATTTATTCCCTCATTTTCATTTAATGCCTGTCGAACACAAACTAGACGACGAAGAGGGTTCAAAGTTTGATAGCAGTCTATTAACAGAAAATCCAGAGAGCCGCTGACTTATCAAACGGTCCTCGTTTTAAAGGAAAACCTTCAGCATCTCTAGCTCGAAGTGATCTCTCAGTATTGTGGTGCTTTATTAGCTTTACCAGCAGATACCAGTAATTGTATGTCCACAAATTTTTGGAAGAATCAAACAGAAAGAAATGTTTATAAAAATTAGCTAAGTGGTCTTCACAACACAATTTCATCTAATCTCAATTTAACTCCTCCAGCTCAAATTAAGGTTTCAACGAATCTCCCGAATAATGATAACTCAAAAGCAATGCCATTGAATATAAATATGAAGCTTCAAGACTAGCCCCAGCAAGGACACAAAATAAGTTCAATCCCCTGTCCTGTTTGCTGTAGTCACCCTCAGTTTCAGTATATGAGGTTATCATACTTCCATTTGGAGGAAATGGACTTGCTCGTAATACAAGCGTTAATATTGCAGTACTGAAGAAAATTTGCAACACTGTTGCAACTGATACTACGTTGCTAGAAATTCACACGGAACCCGTGACACTAATTACTCGAGATATACTGCGAGTATGATTGCAACTCCAACAATCCCAAGTTTACCAATTATTAATACTTTCTATGAGTACCAAGTTTTATTTTTAAACCTAAAGTTTTATTTTAAAACCTAGAATTTTATTTTCAAACCTAAAGTTTTATTTTAAAACCTAAAGTTTTATTTTAAAACCCAACTGTTTGAGTCGCCTTGGTAAATATCTGGGAGGCTACTGTGTAATGCGATTCGAAAGAGAAATGCGATGCAACAGGTAATCGCCACTGCGTATTACTTGCGATGTATTAGCCTATCGCATCGTATTGCTCTTTTGCATAGCATTTATGTAACCCTCCTGGACACTGAAATACGAATTGGTGAGTAGATTCCTATTCCTCCTCATGTCCTTTGCTTTTTACTATAGATTTGTTTAAGGTTAGAAGTTCCTTAGTGCGCTTTTTGTTAAGCCTCAGCCGTGAGGACCTAATAGCTTCACAGTTCTCTCGATTACGCCAATGGTATACTAGTAAATATTTCTCAGTAGATCTAAAACCAGTAATTGCAGGGGGTTGTATACCACGCATAACTGGATTTTCGAACCGTGTACAGCCATCGTCTAGGCTATTTTTATAAGCTTTTATTTAACTTGGTCATCCCGCCCAAATCGCGGAAATTTCCAACCGATTTTAAACTGACTTCCCGACAAGTTAGAGCAACATAGCATAGTTCCAATCACGATGACAATGCCATTTAGTGTATAAATGAATTCCCCATATGGTCCAGGGGTTTTGATTCAAAGGCGGTCAAAAAATAGTAAGATTTATGGCTAACAGAGCGTAATTTGCCAAAGAACGTAAAACCACTATAACATGGTTAAACCTGCCGGCGATAGTGTAGCAAAGCTATTTGTGGCAAATCCTAAATATCAACCTAGTCTAGATATGAACCTCGTTCTAGGAATTAGAAGACTCCAGATGTCGCTCCGCCAGAAGCAGTTAAATATTGCGCCTAAATATATGCCATGCTACAGCGGAAATGGAGGACACGCCATTTCTTTAAATAAAATTAACTGCTTTTATATGTACATATGTATGTTTATACAAAACGTAAGCAAGCAACATTTTGCTTGCCAAGTCTTCGGTTCTCTTTCATTGCAAGTTGAATTATTTTAATATCAATCGCAAAATTTTTTAAATAAAATAAAATAACACTTTTTAATATACAACGCTTTTATAAATGGACTAAAAATTATAAAATAAAATAATGTAAAAAAAAATATTTTTTAAAAACAAGCTGTTGAGGACATGGACGAATGAGGCGTTTTTCTATTCATTTTTTTATTCCACATATGTATAAGTATATATATATAGTATATAAGCTTTTGAATTCTTGTTAACACTAAACACATCCAAAACCTTGAATTTTCTGTGAATTTTATACCAATGTATACATTGCAGTTACTAAACACTAAACATATCTAAACTGAATTTCCCCTAACATTACATGTATACAAATGTACACATTGTATCATAAACGCTTGCACATATATACACATATATTATAAAAGTTTGTAAAAATCCTAACGTTAAAAAAAACCGCGAAGTGCTCAGGCACTCGCAATCTAACCCTCGCTCAGCATAGACTGACTATCGTTTCCTAACTCTACTACAGTCCACTAAATTTTAAATCTTTAACGTCAATAAAACCATTGAATTGTTATTTACATTATTAAAGCAAATTAATCTTTTATTTGCACGGAACTAAACACAGCCCCACTAAGTTGCCAAGAGCGCAACATATGGTCCTTAGCGAGCCATTCGATTTGAATTGGCAGCACTTACGGCGCCTAATCTGGCTAAGTATAGCGAGAGGGACACTCTTTTCGTAGAAGTAAAATCGAGCGGTTGATTGCGAGCGGTGCGCGAAGAAAAAAAAACTCAAACTAACGCAAAGTGAAAAAAATTTAAACAAAATCTGAATCAAAAAACAAAACTAAGCAAAAATAAAAAAAACACTTTACACACAAAAGTGTGCCTAAATATATAAACTAACAAAGAAAAAGTTTCAAATAATTCGAAAAAAACACAAAATAATAGAACGTGAAAAAAAAGATTTGTTTCTCGTGGGTTTTTAAGAAAACAGGAGAACCACGGCAGCAGCCCCCGGCAACTTGGATTGCACACCACGCTAGAGCCCTAGAAACTTAGCGTTTCCATCGGAAGCAGCACCATCGTCAACCGGTGTACATCGGCAGCAGAGCAGTAACAGCCAACGCACACAACAACAACAACAACGACAGCGACAGCACAAAAGGCAGCAATCGGTACAGTAGAGCAGCAGTTCCTAAGCAAAAAGTTTGTACCCAAGTCAAATGCCAAAGTGAGTTACTCAAAAACATATGTACATATGTGCATATATACATTTTATAAAAAGTTTAGCGGATTTTTGGAAAAAACGGTAAACGGAATTGCTCTATTTTTTATTTACCGTTGAGGAAAAAAACCTCTCATTTCGCAGAGTTACCGTTCACCCTGTCGGTACATAAGCTCACAAAATCACATAAACACATATATGTATCCCCGTATCTCTCTTAAAATCGAGGAAAAATCCGCTAAACTACGCACATATATATATATATATATATAAATATACACTCCCTCACGGACATATAAATCATATAAGCTCATCGCAATAATATTTGTTCACTAGTAAAATACGAAATCACAAATACTGTCAAGTGAAAGTTAAATTTCCTACTGGGAATTTGCAAACAAAATTACCGGTTTCCCATCGCCTACTCACATCAAATAATGTTGCTTCGGTCAGCTCCCTTTGCCTTTGTACGTTTGAACTACATAATACTCCAGCGCCAAAAATATATGTCCATAAGTGTGCATACATACTTGTTTGTAGATCAAACAGCCCATGTACATGTTTTCTTTTGGTCTCCCTTTCTACCTTCTAGGTATATACATATATATACTCGTACATACACGGGACAATAGCCCTTCACAGCTAAGCGCCAAACTACAGCAAACGGCTGACATAGGCACACACGTACATATATGTACATATACCTACTCTTTTGTATAATTGGCAAATTAGTTTGATTTTGTTTTTCACTTTGCCCCGCGTTCACATACAAAAATACGTACATAGCTATTTACACGAATCTCAGTGCAGGTACCCGCGCATACATATTTCCGTATCTTAATTGTTTTAGAGCAAAACAAGTACACCCAATACATGCTATTGTGCTCAGATGCGCTGAGGCAATACAGTGACTCCACAAATTATTCGTATCAGTGCGAACGAAATCCGATTTTGTTAATTCCCCAATAAGCCCAAATTTTTAAATCAAAATAATTATTTTAAATAACACCCCAGAAATTTAAACTATTAAAATAACTTTAACCCCCTTCAATTTTTGCGAAAATTACGCACTCGTACATATACATATGTACGTCCGCATATACTTATATAAATTCTATTGTGCTCAGACGCGCTGAGACCATACAGTGACTCTCAAAATTTTTTACAAGTACTCAATTTATAAAATTAACCAAATAATTAGAAAGAGCACTTAATAAATTAAATTAAAATGGCGGAGGAAAAACAGGAAACCCCTTCCCTCCAGCCTCCTCACAAGGCAACAAAAAAAACACGGTCAAAGTCCCAAGCTGACGACGAGGAATTTACCAAAGCGCAGAAAAAGTTCCTTTTCGAAATTTCTAAGCTGGAAAAATATTGCGCGAAATGGTGGAAGATTTGCGAAACAGACCACTCTGAAGCCAGTCTCAAGCTTTTCTTGGAGGAACTCAACAAACACTTGTCATGGGTGGAGAACTCATACGAAGCGGTATACATGAGCAGCTCGGACGAGAAATCCAGTAAGGCATGCGAGGCGAAATACGACACCGCGGTAGACACGTGCATAAGTACCAGGACGCGCATCAACGAATTACTCAGCGATCGCCAACCCGACATGATGGCCGCCAGTAACATCAGCAGTTCAGCACTACCAGCCCCACCCGAACTCCAAAACTATCTAAAAGTGCCTGTTTGTGACACGGAAACATATATATGGATATGAAGACTGGCCGTCCTTTAGGGATATGTTCACAGCAGTGTACATAAATCACCCGAAACTCTCTCAAGCCCCGAAGCTTTATCATTTAAGGCAAAAAACTCGAGGTAAAGCTGGACTCATAATTAAAAATTATGCACTTAATGACCACAATTTTGAGCTGGCATGGGACGCTTTAAAGTCTCGATACGAAAATCGCAGAATTCTCGTCGACAACCAGCTCAAAACCCTTTTTAATATAAAACCCATTCATAGTGAAAATGGGGAAAAAATTCAGGCAATACAGACCACTATTAACAATTGCCTCAACCAGCTCAAAACCCTTTTTAATATTCAACCCATTCATAGTGAAAATGGGAAAAAAATTCAGGCAATACAGACCACTATTAACAATTGCCTCTCAACCCTCAATGCAAATGGTGTATCCACAAAAGACTGGACCCTATGCTAATATACCTCTGCTCCTCAAAATTCCCAGACGAAACTCTCGCCTTATGGGAACAATCACTCAACTCAAGAAAGGAGTTGCCTCTCTGGTCCGAAATGGACCAATTCCTGACAACACGGTACGAAGTTGTAGAACGACTTAGTACGTATAGGCCAAATAAGCCCAATGGCTTTAACCAAAATTACCCTCCTAGCTCATCAACCCCTAATAAGAATAATTCTTTCAGCTATAAAAGCAGAACCCACTCATTTAACGCTGAGATAAAAAGGCAGGCATCTTGCAAATTATGCAACTCCAACCACTCTATGATGAACTGCGTCAAATTCAAGGAGCTCTCAGTGCAGGATCACAACAAATTCATAAAAGATAATCACTACTGTAGGAACTGTTTAGCCTTCTCCCATTCAGAAACTGAGTGCCATAGCAATTTTACCTGTGTTTACTGCCAAATACGGCATCACTCTCTTCTCCATTACCCCGCTAAATCACAAACAGCAAATACAGGCACAAGGCCAAAAACGAATCAGGCGCGACTTCCACCCCCAGCGAATAGCGACCCAAACAGAGCGCCAACCTCTAAAGACGCTCAACAAAACCAAACTCCCTCGTCTTCTCAACAGAACCAAACCCTCTCACACTTCGCGAGTAGTAGAGAAAAAACTCTACTTCCTACCGCAAAAGTCTCAATCCTACATATATATTCGAGCTCTTATAGATCAAGGGTCTCAGAAAACGTTCATTGCATCCCGCATACAAAAACTGCTTGGCCTCCCGACAAAGGCCACTAATTATGAAATTATGGGAATGGGTGGCCGCGTGATGCAAAAAGCGAACAAAATCTGCGCTATTACCATTTGTTCAGCCGATACAACCATGAACATAACCACAAACGCCATAATCCTCCCGCAACTCACTCATTTCTTGCCATCGTTCAAAGTTACATACATTGAACTGCAAGAATACTCATCTCTCCCTCTAGCGGACCCTAACTGCTTTACTCCAGCTCGAATAGACATGGTATTAGGAAGTGATGTCATCCCCCAAGTGCTACTTCCAGGCCTAAAAACCAATGTCGGTGGAAGTTTAATAGCGCAAAATTCAATATTTGGGTGGATTTTGAGTGGCCCAGTAACAGAGCACGTCTCATAATTCACGACCCAGGTAATTGAGAACTCGACAGACACTCTGAACGATCTACTCAAGAAGTTCTGGGAACAGGAGGAAGTACCATCAACCCCGACTCTCACCGACGACGACGTATTTTGCGAAAACCTCTACGAAAGGTCCACAGTTCGCAGAGATGACGGTCGTTACGTAGTAAAACTCCCCTTCAAAACTACCTTCCCAGACACGATTGCACTTGGACACTCAAGACCTGCAGCTCAACAACAGTACCTCAGTATCGAGCGGAGCATCGAAAGAAAACCTGAACTGCAGCAAACGTACACCAAAGTCTTGGAAGAGTATCTGACCCTAGATCACATGGTACCCACAGCGTCGCAAGAGATTATACGTGATGGGAAGTATTTTTCCTTTTACTTACCCCACCACACAGTTCTAAAGCCAGATAGTAAAACTACGAAAGTGCGAGTAGTTTGCAACGCTTCCAAACTGTCTCACTCTGGCATTTCTCTAAACGATATCCTCCACACGGGCCCCGTACTTCATAATGATTTAATGCTCGTTATCCTCAAATGGCGACTGTACAAATACGTTTTCAATGGTGACATTGAGAAAATGTACCGCCAGATTTACGTACACCCAGAGGAACAAGATTTCCAAAGAATCGTATTACGTAGAACCCCTCAAAGCTCGGTCGAAGATTTCAAATTAAAAACGGTGACCTTTGGTGTCAATTGCGCACCATACTTAGCTATAAGAACCCTGCACCAACTAGCCAAAGACTCACATGACAAACACCCAAAAGCCTCTAAGATTCTACTGAACGAAATTTACGTAGACGATATACTGTCAGGCGGACATGATCTCGACTCGACACTCACTTCGATGAATGAGGTAATTGCAGCACTAAAATCAGCAGGTTTCCCATTAAAGAAAATGACGGCAAACCACAAAGATATACTCCAAAATATACCCACATCTGACCGCTTAGAAGCAGACTTCCTCCAGTTCCAAGATTCCAGCTCCACAAAAACCCTCGGAATAAAATGGAATGCCCTTAATGATGAGTTTTCATACTCAATCGATCCTCTTCCAGACTCTAATGTAGCCACTAAAAGACAAATTTTGTCGTCCGTTGCTAAACTTTTCGACCCGGCAGGGTGGCTAACGCCAATGATGATCCAAGCCAAAATGTTACTCCAACAACTCTGGATGAAAGGTACAGGCTGGGACGAATCCGTCAAACCCGGCGCGCTTCACAAATGGAACGCATTTCAAGGAAACTTAATAGCAATCAGGGAAATCCGGATGCGCCTGTGTCTACCTCAGAGTGGAACACATCGAGAATCAAGTATTCTCTCATTTGCTCGCAGCGAAAAGTAAGGTTGCACCCTTACAAACAGTTAGTCTACCTCGCTTAGAACTCTGTGGAGCAGTCCTTCTCTCCAAACTAATCAAGCAAATTCAATCCCAACTCGATTTGCCATCACACGAACTCACACTCTGGTCAGATTCCTCTATCGTTTTGGCCTGGTTGTAAAAACCCCCATGGTCATGGAAGACGTATGTAGCGAACCGAACCTCTCTCATCCTACAATATGTCAGCAACGCTACTTGGAGACACGTATCCAGCTCAGACAACCCTGCAGACCTAGGCACAAGAGGATGTAAGCCACAAGATCTAGCCTCCTGCTCGCTATGGTGGAATGGCCCCAATGGCTCACTAAGCCCTCCACGCGTTGGCCAAAGATCGCGCCTCCAAACTCTCTCCCCCCGAACAAAAATCGGTGGAAGCGTACCACACGATAGAAAATGAAGACCTTCTCAATCGATTCTCGTCATTTTCCCGCGCACTTAGGGTAATCACCTACGTATGTCGATTTATCCACAGTGCACGGAAGGAGCCAATACCCACCACATGCACACTCACCCAAGAAAAAATAGGTTTCGTTGAAACGCGTCTCATCATATGTGCCCAACGTAATCATTACGGAGAAGCGGTCGCACAGCTCGAAGCCTCCAAACCCATAAATAAAAAGAGCTCGTTACTATCTTTGAACCCTATGCTTGACAAAACAGGTCTGATGCGCGTAAACGGCCGTCTCAAATACGCCGCACTCAGCTATAATGAAAGGCACCCTATTATAGTGCCGGAGGATTCAAGATATTTCGCGCTTTATGCTGATTTTCTCCACTCGCTCTTACTACACGCCGGCAAACAGTTAATGATTCGTGCAGTACAACAGGGGTTCTACGTACCTCGCCTCAAACAGAAAATCAAGGGGTTCATCTTCCACTGTAAAACGTGCACAATCCACAAACAAAAGATGAGATCCCAAATCATGGCTGCTCTACCTCCAGAAAGATCCACCTACTCACTACCCTTCCACACCACTGGAGTTGATTTCGCAGGTCCATTATTGGTGAAAACATCCGCATTACGCCGAAGCTCATACACGAAAGCTTATGTCTGTGTATTTGTATGCTTCTCCACGAAGGCGATCCACCTCGAACTCTGCTCGGACCTGACAACTGAAGCCTTAAGGCAAGCTTTGCCCGTTTTGTCGGCCGGCGAGGATTACCACACAAAGTCATGTCAGACAACGGCAAAACATTCGTTGGCGCACAAAGATCCATTTATAGAGAACTCTCCAGTTTTCTCAAGGACGTCGTTCCAGACATTGCTGAACATTATGCCGTACATGGTCTCTCATGGCAATTCATACCCCCATATTCTCCTCATATGGGAGGTCTCTGGGAAGCTGCGGTAAAAAGCTTTAAGGCACACTTCAACAAAGTGGCAGGCAATCAAAAGTTTTCCTTTGAGGAGCTCACCACTCTCCTCATACGCATCGAAGCGGTCCTTAATTCCAGACCACTCTCCCCCATGTCTCAGGACCCAAATAATATGTTAGCATTAACTCCAGGTCATTTTCTACGTGGAGGCCCTTTACTCTCCCTACCAGAACCTAATGCTGAAAACTTCTCCCTGGTGAATAAGTGGCAAAAATTGAAGGTGCTTCACCACCAGTTTAGTACACGCTGGAAAAACGAATACCTAAAGGAGTTGCACAAGAGAAATAAATGGAAAGGACTCGAAACAAACATCACTGAAGGAGACTTAGTCGTCCTAAAAGATGACCTCCTCCCCCCAAATGAGTGGCGCCTTGGACGCATCGTAAAACTTTATCCCGGTCCTGATCAAAATGTTCGCGTAGCAGACATCCGTATCAAAACAGGAGTTGTCACTCGCAATATTGCGCGATTATGCTTATTACCCCCCTCATAAATGTCTTTACTAATCATTACACATATTTACAGATGTGCGGCTTCATGTACAAAATCCGTAAACTTCACTCAACATCACTCCTTTATTAACCCATCCATATGCACATTACATTACGTTCTCATTTTCACATTTTTCACACTCATCTGGAAATACGCTAATGCTATTTTGAAATTATTTTTTTCCTAGGACAAGTGACGAGCCGATGGAGCCGAACAAGTGCCGCTTATGTTGCCGCCCTAACTCCCTGTGCTATTGTAAGGCGTTCCGGGCTATGACTCCAGAGGACAGGCATGAATCGGCGCGGGCACACAAGTACTGTGTGAATTGTCTGGCCACCTCACATGCCACAGGAGCTTGCGATTCACCGGCCAGCTGCCACCGATGTGGCAGAGCGCACCACACGCTACTACACCGATCAACCTCGAGCTCGCCTGGGAAGAGGCACAAGAGGTCGACTCAAAACGGTCGAATCGCCAATCGCCGCACCATCCGCAAACCGCCACGAAGCCTCCAGAGCCACTCTGCCGCCAGACGTCGTCATATCCGGGAGTTGCTAAACAAAGCCCAAGCTATTATCGAGCAGCTGAAGGAGTTGTTGCCGACATCCGCACAGGGGCGCCATGTTGAGGACATGGACGAATGAGGCGTTTTTATATTCATTTTTTTACTCCACATATGTATAAGCTTTTGAATTCTTGTTAACACTAAACATATCCAAAACCTTGCATTTTCTGTGAATTTTATACCAATGTATACATTGCAGTTACTAAACACTAAACATATCTAAACTGAATTTCCCCTAACATTACATGTATACAAATGTACATATTGTATCATAAATGCTTGCACATACATACACATATATTATAAAAGTTTGTAAAAATCCTAACGTTAAAAAAAACCGCGAAGTGCTCGGGCACTCGCAATCTAACCCTCGCTCAGCATAGACTGACTATCGTTTCCTAACTCTACTACAGTCCACTAAATTTTAAATCTTTAACGTCAGTAAAACCATTGAATTGTTATTTACATTATTAAAGAAAATTAATCTTTTATTTGCACGGAACTAAACACAGCCCCACTAAGTTGCCAAGAGCGCAACACAAGCTTTTATTTAACATGTACAATCAAAGGAATAACATGAAGTAGTGTAACAAAAGATTTTTTAGAAAGAAAGTTTTGTCAAAACTGCACTAAAATGAAAAAAAAATAAAATAAGTTAAGGTCTCGTTAAAGTTACTAAAAGCCATTTAGTGAAAGGAGTTATTCAAACTCTAATGAAAATTACTAACAATTTGTACTAATTTACTTCGTTTTTAAAAAAGCTTGTTATTTAAATGCCGGTTTTCTATTCGCGCGACAAGCTTTTTTAAAAACAAAGTAAATTAGTACCGAGTTAACACACTTCAGTCTCTGCCGAAATTTACCTATTCGCCGCTGTGCGCCGAATTAGGCTCAGACGATGCCACGGGAGAATTTTCACCTTTCGCGTTGTTCTCATAAAATGGTTTGAGATCACTCACGTGCGCTGTCCTCCTTTTCCCTTTGTGCACCTTGTCGAGTTCGACGATCACAGGCGAAATAAAATTTAGTACGCGATGTGGTCCCCCGTATTTCGGTGCAAGCTTAGCCGCGAAATTGTCCACGGCTTTAGACAAGAAGTGTTCTCTCACCAGAACTCTGTCTCCCACGACCGGTTGCCACGATCTTCTTCGCAGATTGTAGTGTCTCGCTTGCTCTGTCGTTGCCTTTTTTTGGTTTCGTCGCACTAACTCAATCACCTCTTTCATTCTCGCCGCTTTTACTTGCGGTGTGGTGGTATCTTCGCCGGTTCCTAACGTATTTTCGTCGTACAATGCGTTCGGTAACCTTGGTTCTCGCCCCTGGATGACAAACGCCGGGCTGTAACCCGTTGCCTCGCACACGCTCGTGTTGAGGGCCAAAGTCATTTCTGGCAACAGATCATCCCAGCTCTTCTGGTCTCTGCCTGCAAACTGCGCCAGTAGTCGCTTGACGTTACGGTTCGCTCTTTCCGTCGGATTGTATGCGGAGCAGTGAATTGGTGCCTTACTCCCGTCTCCTCCAGGAATTGCTTAACCCATTCCTGCCTAATGGATATTTAAATACCCAAGAAAGTGGTGTCACTAAATAAATTCTAGCTCGGGCTAGGAAAGAGATATCGAAGTTATATTTTTTTTAATTGAAGAGGAAGAATGGCCCTTAAAAAATAGAATTATGTCAGTATATTGTTTTCGTTAAAAACTTTTTTTTTAAGCCAAAAATCGAGGTTTTTTTTTATCGGAAAATGCTTAGGAAAAGCGCTCCCAAATATAGGGAAATGGGAAAAACGAAAAAAGCTCACCTTACCAGATAGCTTCAGGTGTCCTTCATGCAATGAAAAAACGCTATAGAGATATCCCAACACACCTGGCAGTTACACCTGGTTAAATGAAAATGTGTATTTAGATACCCGACAGTCGAATGTGTGTACACAAAAAGTCTTTTTTTTCCTATATGGAAACATTTAATTTGCAGTGAATAAAACGCATAATTAAATAGGATTTTTTTTTATTTTACTGAGAAATTATTATATTTATAAGAAATAGATTACTTAGCCTTGCCAATCTTTTTCTTATCTGGTTCAACGCCGTTGTGGTAATCCAGAAAGCAAGGAGCGGGATGCAAGTTCACTTGGCACTTCAAGCAACCATATTCAGTTTTGCCACCACATTGCGGACAACGATGACGAGTATTAAGTTTTCCGATGAAATGATCCATACGGTCGTAACGCATTGCCAGTTGTGCCCCGGAAGCCGACGTTCTACCCGGATGATGATAACTGGACTTGATCATAATCGATTCACACACCTCCACTCGAAATTCATATTGAGACATCGGTGGCTTCTTGTCATACTTGCGACAGAAGCAATGTAACTTCCATGCATTTACCATAGCCGCGTCAAACGCATTTGTTATTAATGGCCAATACCACTTTTTTCCCCGAATCCGAATTCGATAATTATTCATTGCATTGTCAAAAAGGTCCACACCTCCCATAAGATGATTGTATTCGTTGACCAAATACGGCTGCTCAATAGTAACCATTTTCCGTTGCTTTCGATCATACCGATAATTCGATAATAAGGTCACGACCTGAAAAGATAAGAATGAATGAAGAACACATCAACGATGGACGTAAAGATCAAAATGAACCGATAGTCAAATTGAAAGGTTTCTTTGCACATATAACTTACCGCATTATCATTCCAACGCACCGCCAAAATAGAATTGTTCGGGTCGAAACGAAAGTCAGACGTCCCGCGAGGCTTCTTTTTCATTTCCTTGATGTCCATTAATGGGGCATGATTGGTCCGATTATCACGAGCAGTTCCCAAAGCGAAGAATCCATCGTTCGACAAACGAGTCATAAGTTTGTGACTTGTAAAAAAGTTGTCAAACGTAACCGTGTGCTTGGCGCGGGCCTCCAGATGTGAAAGAAGTGATAGCACAACACGTTCTTCCAGTCCGAAACCTGGGTCCTCCTGTTCTGATGCACCAGCGTATGGAAGTAGTTGATACAAGTAGCCTTCTGACGAAGCCAAACACCAATACTTGTACCCGAAACGAATTGGTTTTGCCTTGATGAACATTTTGCACGAATGTCGGCCGTAGTAGGCAATCATTTGTTCATCAATGGAAAGGTTGTGAGAGAAAACACCAAATTGAAGAAATTTTTTGTTCAATAAGTCATTCAATGGTGCGACTTTTGCAAATTTGTTTTTCATATTCAATGCTGAGTTGTCACACACGTGAAAGAACTGTTTGATTCGTTTGAATCTGTCTCTTGAAATACATTCTTTTATTAGCGCGCAATTTTTGGTCGCAGCATATTGGTTGGTTGAAGTAACCAACAGGTTCAACACCTCCTCATCGATGAACATTTCCCAAAGCTGCACTGGATTCATGTCACCAATTTTCTCATACAACGCTTTGTGTGAAGTGGCCGAATCATCGAATGGAATCTTAGTGAATTGATAATTTTGCGACCGAGACCATTTTGGTTTCATGCCCTCTTCGATTCTGGGTCGCTTAGGTGCCTTACTTGATTTAAGCGTTGATTTGCGACCACGACCACTAGATGTCGAGGCCACCGGTGTATCATCTTCTTCTTCTTGTTCAAAATCGGGTTCATTTACGGTATCATTGTCGTCCAATTCCTCATTGTCACTCAGAATATCGACGACATCGGGTGGCGTTATGATAATATCAACGGCGTCTGCGTGTTGCACAAAGTTATCCTCTCCATCACTATCTCCATCAGACCAACTATCTAAAATAGCTTGCAGTTCGATAGCAGTGGGAACTTTCTGCCGACGAATCATTCTGAATATTCTATAATATATTGAGACATATATTTATAATTATACATAAAATATAACGAAAAAAGATCATGTGTACTTACAATTGTTTATAATCAGCCAATTTATTTCTTATCACTTTTTTCTTGTTTATTTTACCTTTTTATATCACTATAAGTTTTTTTTTTTACATGTGGGATGATGGTGCATAAAAAAACATTTGGCAAATGTCAATAATGCACAAAACGTCAAAACAATAGCCAATGGTGTTTTCTTTTGAAGTTATTTCAAAGTTAATGTTAATGCCTGTCGGGTATTTAAATACCCATGTCATATCTAAGGTGTGTTCGCATGTAAACATTTTTTTTTTATCAACTTCTATAGTCTCCCAGGCACATATTTAAAAATTTCATCAAAATCGTACCAGCGGGTCTATGGGCAGGCATTAATGGGTTAAATTTCGCGCTGGTAAATTGCGTTCCATTATCCGAGATCAGGATTTTTGGAATGCCGAATTTGCCGATAATCCGCTCTCTCACTGCTCGAATTACTCCCTCCGCTGTTGCCTTCCGCATTGGTACAATCTCGACCCATCTTGAAACGATCTAGTATTACCAGCGCCATAGTGTTTCCATGCTTGGATCGCGGAAGAGGTCCTACGAAATCAATACACACTGTCGCCCAGGGTTCTTCGGCTAGCTGCGTCTGCATCTTTCCGGCTGCTTACTGCTGGATTGGTTTGTAAAGCTGGCACGTTTCACACTGTCGCACGTACTGCCTCACGTCACGGAACATGCCCGCGCTGTCGCCCGCGCTATCGTTTTTCGGATGCCCATATGGCCTGTACTGGGAACATCGTGAATTTCCCGTAACACCCTCTGTCTTTGCTCTGCCGGCACGCATAGTTTCCATGGCAACACGTCTTCAATTCGTCCTGATATTCGCCTGTACAGCTCACCATTTTCGATGACAAAGTCAGGAAACTTCTGTGGAGACCTCTCCACCTCCGCCATCTTGTCTTTCAGCCACTTGCACTCTACCGCTTCTCCTCCCGCCGTCATCGAACCAAGCAATGTTTCCTGGGGCTGTCTTGACAGCGCGTCTGCTACCACATTCAGCTTACCCTTGCGATACTGCACATCGAAGGAGTACTGCTGCAGTTCCAGCGCCCACCTTGCAATCCGACCGGATGGACTCTCTATCTTACTCAGCCATTTTAGCGCTAAGTGGTCGGTGATGACGGTAAACGTATATCCTTCTAGGTAGGGTCTCATTTTTCTGATCGCCCACACTATGGCCAGGCACTCTTTCTCCGTTGGTGAATAATTAAGTTCGGCCTTGTTGAGCCGGCGACTCGCATATGCGATTACGCGTTCTTTTCCTTCAATCTCTTGGGTGAGAACAGCTCCCAGCCCGTAGTCGCTCGCGTCTGTTTGCATAGTGAACTTCTGCGTAAAGTCGGGGCAAGCCAACAACGCGCCTCGGTTAACGCGTTCTTCAGCGCCTCGAACGCTGTCTGTTGCTCGTCGCTCCATTTCCACTTGTGGCCCTTGTTTAGCATGGACGTCGGCGCATGCGCCACTTTGGAAAAGTCGGGGACAAATCTTCGGTACCATGAAGCTATCCCTAGGAACCTGCGTAACTCCCTTATATTTGTCGGTGGTGTCAGCTCTTTGATAGCCGCGACCTTCTCAGGATCGGGGTGAATGCCCTTCTCGCTGACGACGTGACCCAGATACTTCAACTGCTTCTTGAAAAACTCGCATTTTTCTGGGTTGATCCTAAGATTCGCCTGCCTAAGCCGGAAGACCTCCGAAAGATGTTGGACGTGCTCTTGCAGGGTTGCGCTGATGACAATAATGTCATCCAGGTAGGCAAACGCATACGGCTCTAGCTCTGGACCGATAACTTGGTCTAACGCACGCTGGAACGTCGTGGGGGCGGAGTGGAGCCCAAAGGGCATTACTCGCCATTGAAAAAGGCCACGCCCTGGCACTGTAAAAGCAGTGTACTGCTTGCTCTTCCATCGGGATTTGCCAGTAACCGTTTTTCAGGTCAAGGCTTCTAATGTAACGCGCGCTTCGTAGTCGGTCAAGGATATGTTGGATCTTCGGTAGGGGGTACGCGTCGGGCACTGAACGCTCGTTCAGCTGTCGGTAGTCGACGCAGAGTCTCCACTTGCCGGTCTTCTTCTTCGCCAACACTATCGGGGCGCGGTGCGGGCTGTGTGAGGGTTCAATACACCCTTTCTCGATAAGGTCGTCGATTTCCGCGTTGGTGATTTCCTGCATCTTCGGTGTCTTCGGGCAATACCTCTGCTTGATCGGCCGGTCATCCTTCATGACGATCCGGTGAGTGGCAATATTTGAAACTCCAGACATCTTCTCAAATTTGCGTAACTCTGACTTTAAGAACTCTCTCGCTTCGTCGGTTGTCGCGGCTTCTGTAGGCATGGGGTTTGATTTGGGCTCATCGCAGTTACCTGACCTCTCTGCACCACCCTCGCGTATTGCCGTGAACGTTTCTACTTCTTCTCGGAGTGTCACGTCTAAGTCTCCGCAACATGCCTTCGCTCAAGAAACTTCTTGTTGCGCCTGTATCAACTCCAGCTACTACGTCGACCTCATTTACTCTGATCGCCCCCTTAATTCGGCCATCCGACTGCCTTAGTACACTATTTAGTTTGGGCGAGGCTGTTCTACCTGACGCCCCACTCCTCGCCGCAAATGGGATCTCGAGCTGGGAGTTTCTGTAGATACGCGTCAGCTTCTGCTCTGAGGTGTAGTTCGCGTGTCGCATCAACCTCTGAAGGGCCAACACATAGTCTTTAAACTTCTCATTCTGTTGTTGGACGCGACGACGGGTCTCATCGTCTAAGGTTTCGTGGTAGCGAGAGTTTAAGAAGAACCTTAGAAAGTCTGTCTTGAAGTCCTCCCATTGTCGCCAATTCCGGTTATTACTGCGGAACCATGTCAACGCCTTCTCCTTAAGTAGTTCTGGCATCGCCCGCGGTAACAAGTCACGATTCACCTCGTATACTTCCGCCAATTCTTCTACACGTTCGCTGAAGCTGAGCGGGTCTCGGCCGCTGTCGCATTTGAAACCCCACTTACGGACTCGGTCCATGATGGTTGCCAGCGATGTCGTAGGATACGTTGCGTATGGCTGTGGTGTCTCAAACGCGTCAACGGGCATTGGTGACTGCATGACACTGGCTCCCTGGCTTCCACTTGGTGTTGCTGCGGTAACATTCAGCGCAGGCTTCGAGTGTTTCGCTTCTAGCTCTTCGAACCGCGTTTGGTAGTCTTCGTTGTTACTTTCTTCTTGTATAAATGAAGAGAAACGTCTTCGCAGCTCTTCGACTGTTCCTGTCTGTTCGAGGCCGAACTCTGCCATATAGGTCAGCAGCTCCTCTCGGTTGAGGTAATGTATCCACTTTCTCTTCACCATTGTTTTTTTTCACACTGTTTCTTCACTGGACCGCCTACTAGTAGTTCTTCGGGTGATCACTGCCCTTATTGCTTCTTTAATTTGGGTCTTTCGGGTAGTCGCTGAACTCAGTGTCTCTATCACTTGTGTTCTCTCTCTTATTTTTTTTATACCCGAGCGCACTTGTGCACAAGGGTATATTAATTTTGTTCACATAACGGTTGTTTGTAACAGCCAAAACGAATCGAGATAGATATAGACAAATGAATACATAAATGATCAGGATGAAATAAGAAATCGATTAAGCCATGTCTGTCTGTCCGTCCGTCTGTCCGTTTGTCCGTGTACACAATAACTCGAGCAAAAATTGAGATATCTCAACGAAATTTTGGTATGTAGGTTTCCCTTAATCCAAGGTAGGTTGGTATTGAAAATGGGCGAAATTGGACTTTAACCACGCCCACTTCCCATATAACGGTAATTTCCAGAAATACGAAAACTGCGATATTTTAGTAACTACTGAAGATAATTCACTCAAAATTGATATTTACAATAATTTTTAGACGAAAAATAAGAATATTATAAATTTTTGGAAAATGGGCGTAGCCACGCCCACTTATGGTTACATGTGTATATCTTGGTAACCGCTGCACCAATTTCTTCCAAACTTGGCACAGTTGTTGGCCTTCGCATAACAAACCAAATTTTTAAAATCGCTCAATAACCACGCCTACTTCCCATATAACGGTAATTTTCAGAAATACGAAAACTGCGATATATATGTATATAAAATAGTTGTTGTGGGGCCCAGGGCCACAGGATCCGGGGTCCTCACAGTAGTAAGCATTAAGCATGGATCTCCAGATTGGTCTTTACTTGTATACAATTGTTACGTTATCAGCGATATAAAGCATATGGTACAGGATATCGCATCCTCAGAATTAACGCTGGTGGTAGCGTTCTCACACCGACAGTTTTAAAGAATGGCTTGGAAGAGAGTATTAGCTCGGGTTCCTTTATGCATTTATGGCTTTGTATGCATAAATATTTTCGACCAGTTCATACCCTCCACTGAGTTAAAAACGCGAGCCTTTAATGTTATATTCAAACTCCCCGCACATACCTTTTTCCAAGACAACATTTGCGTAAGTTCTGAAAAGGAATGGCACGTCAAATCTGATGGATATGAATCCATATATCAACGGTATTATTGCCAAGTTAAATAAACTTAATTAACATTGACGACTTGATTGTGCTGCTTTTTTCTTTCCGAATATTAGCTATTTCAAGCTCGCCATTTTTTTGGAAATGCATGTTAAATAAATGAAAAATATGATATAACAAAGAGTAGTAGTCAATGTTTGCTTTTCAATTAAAAACTAAGAAAATTCTATGCCAACACTTGAGCGACGGAGAAATTGCCTCACGCTCTCTAAAATGTGTCAGGCACATACAAGTCCTTAACCCGCCATTATATGTACATATTTCTTTTTTAGTAAATATTTTTTCACTTTCATTGGCGAATTCTGCCGCCGTCATGCGAGACAGCGCGCAAAAGGCAAACGTTATTGTAAAACTAAATTAAGATTGAAATGTGAAACTGAAACCGTTTTACACAATTACAATGTATCAATCCCAAATGATACATTCGTACATTCGTACGAGTACAACAACACAAATGTGCTTACACACAGTACATAAACAATAGTTAGTAGAAAGGTTTGAGGTTTAAAAAAATTTTAAATGTTTGGGCAAAAATCAGCATTGACATGAGCGATTGAAGGAGTAGGTATGTCGAATTGATGGAGATGAGTGGCTCAAACAGTCTGCGCCATTGCCACTTTCGATATCGATGAATTGCACATTGGTGTATTACTTGGGTAGTAGGGAATGGGTTGCGTTTTTTCTTCAAGTCTCGGCTGAAGGGTTATTTTTGGGCCAAAAACAACAAAAAGCACTACGTTAACGAGGGCGAGTGGCTTAAAAATCGAGATACCCCAGCAAAAAACGATTACCACAGAAATGAAAGTGGAAACGAGCTAGGCGATGGGAATCACTTACCCTTTTGCTTCAAGAAGGCCTTATTTTAACATGTGCATGTCATTGGAGGTAAGCCCTTACCCGCAGCATTACCATCAAATGAAGGGAGAACGCATGGATAAACAGAATCCAGAGAAGCGAACAAAGAACGCCTTACAGAGAAACTAATGTAGAATGCCTAGATAAGTACATACTTATTTATATTAAATTTAAATCAGAAAATGTCTTAAAAGATTAAAATTAATTAAATTTTTTATAAATCAGCTTTTATACAAACATATGTATGTATGTATTTAGGTATTTAGATTTTCTTAAAAATCGGTATGTACATACATTCATATTTAATTAAGCTTAAAATTGTACTTCCTCACTCTTGTACTTCACTTCATCGACTGACTTCAACTTCGCTGCAAATTGAACAAAGCAAAACATGATTTTTATGGGAGACAAATTTCCACAGAAAGTTACGGTAGAAAAAGAATTTTTGGATATTCATTCTATTTTTCAGCTGACTACGATGCAGCATTCTACTTTGCATTCCCGGAAATGAAGCAAAGAAGCCAAACAAATAAAATATTGTAGGACATTCTACTTTGCATTCCCTGAAATGAAGCAAAGAAGCGAAACAAATAAATTATTGTAGGACATTCTACTTTGCATTCCCGTAAATGAAGCAAAGAAACGAATTAAAAAGGAAATATTATAGGACATTCTACTTTGCATTCCCCGAAATGAAACAAAGAAGCAAAATAAATAAAATATTGTAGGACATTCTACTTTGCAATACCAGCAATGCCTAAAAGAAGCGAAAAAATTCGAAGGCATTATAACGCTATGCCTTCTAGAACACGTTACCACTAAAAGCGATTACCGATTTTTTGCTGGGACATAGCTCCCAAAAAATACAATATTTCTTTGTGCATTTGTTTTTCTTGTTTTATTCTTTAAGCTCGGACGACTGCAACTTCACGACGTAACGACAGCGACATCATTTTGTCGACAAATGTCGCCTTGAAGCCAGCTTCTTAAACATTTTGAAGACCTCAGCGACATAGCAAACAGCTGATTTTAAAGTTTGACATTTTGGTATATTTATTTCACAAATTGTGTATTTTTATTTAAGTAAATAAGAAAAACATGAACAATCAAGAATATGCGATTAATTTTGCGACAATTTAATTTTGCAGCACTACATCTACTCATTGTCGCCGGCAAAATTAGAAATAGATTTAATTTGGCGACGTCGACAATTGCAGTCCTGCAGCCAAGATGTCGTGCTGTCGTCAAAATAATTGTGTCCGTAAGAACGTGTGTATTTAAAATTTGACAGATGCTGCTTGTCGCTTGCTGTCGTCAAAGTGTTCCGAGCTTTATTGTTCCGCTGTCGCATTGTTCGTTGCTTGGAATCATTCGACTGCATAACTTACAAATCCGTTTGGTTTGCATATGAGCTGAGCTAAGTGGCTCTATTGCTATTGCTGTTGCGGAGAACGCAACAAACATGCGTGCTGCTAACAGGAAGTTGTGTGCTCACTACCCAACTCATACTTGTCTTCCCCTCACACTTACTTTTCCCCATACAAATCGAACTGTTCGAATGGCTGGCTGGCTGTAAAGCTGAAATTAGTCAAGAACGTAAACCTACCGGTACGTAAACCCGAGTCAGCTGACACGATCTGTCTTACCAAAGCGCCATGTAAATGAAAACTCAGCACCGCGGAATTTTTCTGTAGTTGTAGCCCGTAGCGCAGAAATCTTCGGAATTTAGATTTTTCCGTGTCAGCTGATTTCTCCTTCTTTAGATGGTTGCCACTTCGTCAGTTTTACAGATGGTAAAAAAGATATAAGTTCTCGCTCAAAATATGTTTAAAATATTTGAAATTTACTATTGAATAAGGTTTTTGTTGAAAACTAAGTAGTTTATATTTAGCTAAAATCTATTATAGCACGAAAAATTGCAGTTGAAAGGGTAAGTTTATGAAAAGGCATTGATGAGTGGCAACAGTGTAGTAAGCAACACTGAGGGCTCCAGTAATCGACAAAATTCTGCGTATACAGACTGCGTTTAAGTATACGTTCTGCGTTCTCGACTAATTTCAGCTTAAGCCCGACTGCTGGCTTGCTTGGTGCGACAGGTCGTATGAATTTTGTATCTCGTTCAAATATATGTGTGTGTGTGTGTGTTGAGTGCTTTTGTTATGCTTGCAAATCAAAGAGAAAACACACACTCATACCAATGCCTGCATAGAAATATTGAATAGAAAAGAATTAAAAAATTCACAGTCAATGTATGGAAATTTGAAGGGTAGCAAAGTGAAAAAAATAGAAGGGCTATTCGCGATTCGGTGCATATGAGCTGACAAATTTATGCAATTGCAGAAATATGCCATGGATTGTGAGCGACCTTTATTAAACTGTCATGGTAAAGCTTTTGCAAAACAATTTTTGTGCATCAGCTTTGGTTTTGTTTATGAATGCAATGCATAGCATTTTTATGCTATGGATTTTCGGTATTGCAAATTTGACAAGCCATGACAAATGCAAATGCGTGTATTTTGTTTGTGTATTGCAAATTATTTGCAATACAAATTTGCAATGCAATGATGCTAGGCCATTTGCACCGGATCGCGAATAGCCCTAGAGTAAAACAAAACAAATTGTCTTTATTCAGTGGCAAATCCAATGATGTGCGCTTCGGCGGATTTTGACAGTTCGTCAGGCGGTCTGTCCGTCATCCGTAATGCAATCACTCACACACGCAACTTTTGCTCGGTTGGTTGGTGGTCGGCTTTGTTAGCCGCTATCGCCTTTTACAGGCTGCTGGGTAGCATGTTGCGGCTGCGCGCGGCTTTCCGGTGTGGCATTATTTTCTAAAAGTTCATATCACAGCGTCTTACACGGACTGCGTAACTCTTTAGCTTGCATAT